GATGGTTTTTGTAACTATGTATTGCTATGTTGTTACATTCTTACTTCCCATGCCTAAATTATTAATTAAATGGTATCACAAGCATTTACAAATAGGAGAAGGCTCCGTGCACCTTGGGGTCAGTACCATCTATGGTTTTAAGTACCGACTGGGGATCTGGGAGTGTAACCCTGGAGATGAGGGGGACCTCAGCCTGGGGCTCTGCAGCAGCACAGTGAAAAATCCTACCTTGTGTCCTATCTTGTGACACAGACAATATCATTAGCTCCATTTTACAGATAAGGGAATGGAAGCTCAGAGTGGCTAGGTAACTTCCCCGGGTCACATAGCTACATCTGTATCTAGGTGGACAGTTGGCTCCCTGCAGCTTAGACTCTGATGTGGAGAGATGGAGTATGTATGTGTGTGTGTGTGTGTGTGTGTGTGAGAGAGAGAGAGAGAGAGAGAGAGAGAGAGAGAGAGAGAGAGAGAGAAAATCAGCTCAATTGCTGCTCCATTGATAGGAGGTATGGGCACTGACCAGCTCCTATGGTCCCTACCTTCCCTCAAGTAGGGCTCACCCTGCCCACTGTACCTGCTCTGTGCACCGCCCCCAAATGTCAGCCCTGTCCCAGGGGCTTTAGCTGGGGACAGTCCTAGTTGGAAGTTTGTATATGTTTACTGAGCCCATCTGTGTTAGTGGTGGATACAAAAGCTTCAATTGAACAGAACCCCCCTTCTCTCTCTCTCTCTCTCTCTCTCTCTCTCTCTCTCTCTGTGTGTGTGTGTGTGTGTGTGTGTAGTGACTCTGTAAGGGAAGGGGGTACCGTCTCTGAATGAATGATTATTCAGGGACGGACATTTTGAACCGGGCCTTGAAGGAGAGGTATGAGTTTGCCATTCCAGACCTACTCCTTGAAGACTCAGAGATCCATTTGGGGAATTTGTTGTGGCAGGAACAGACCCTTTGGGTGTACTGACTGGGGGTAGAGGCTATACCAGGCTGCAAGGAGGAGTTGGTTCCATAGTTAGGAATGTGGTGTAATCTGTCAGCCCTTGGCTATGGCCTGTGCATTGATGGGCATAGGCTGGAGGTGAGCCTATGGAAAGGTAATTGTGGTGGAAACTGGGGAAGAAGGCTGGGGGCCCCTCAGCTTCTTTGGAATTATTTTCTGAAACATGATGATCAAATGCCCAGCAGGGTAACAAAAGGGAAGGGGTTAGAGAAGAATGGAAAGGGGTAGGAGCAACAGGGCCCAGGGAGGGCCTACAGTTGTCATCCTACCATCACCCGGCACTGGCCTGGCTTGCACATTCTGTGGAACCCAGTGCTTTTATTTCTATAATGTTTACCTACTGCTGTGTGAGTATGGTTTGTGTGGCAGGAATGATAGGGTGGGATGCTTCTGGCTTTGGGGTCCCTGGAGGCTGAGTCAGGATGGCAGCTGGGCCTGGTGGGGACTGTGGTGAAGAGCTGGCTGCTAGAGTGTTCCCAAGACAGAGTAACTGGTAACTACTGTTACTGGTAGCAGTAACCCCAGCTACCCAAGGGACAAGACTGAAGTCACATGCCTTTCCCAGCTTGTTCCAGAAGTGACACACACCGTCAGTTCTACACTATCCCATCATGTTAGAGTTCCATTCCTGACATAATACTTGAGACAACCAACTTGGAGGTAGAAAAGCTAAAAGTCAATAGTTTCTTTGGCCTGTGGTGGCCCAGTACATCACAGAAGATGTTCGTGCATAGGCCTGCTCACCTCACTGCAGTCAAGAAGCAAAGAGAGAATCAGGAAGAGGCAGGGCCCCTGTATCCCTCAGAGGGACCTAACTTCTGCCTTTGGCCTGGTTCTTTGAACTTTTATTCCTGCATCAGAACACCTGTGCCACGGGCATCAGGAAGAAACACTCACTTTGTTCATGGTTTCAAAGGGGTCAGTCCATTGTGTTGTGGGGCATTGTTGGTAGAGCAGCTTTGCTCATGCTAGCCAGGAAGTGGTGGTGGGGGAGAAAGCCCACCTATGATGTCTGCTTTTACTCTTTTCTCCCTTGTATTCCATCTGCTCCCCACAGGATGGGGTACCCACATTCTCCCCTTCCTCTCTGGAAGAACAGACAGACTAGGGGTGTGCTTAACTGACCTCTCAGATACTTCCCCAGCAAATCAAGTTGTCAATGGAGATTCACTAGCTCAAGGCTCAGCTCTTACAGCTTTAGCCTTTCCCCTGTGAGCCTTTAAAATACAAGCTTGATGAACAGCCAGGCCTGACAGGGTAGGAGTCACGATTACCCCAGTCAGGGCTGAAGAGATGGCTCAGTGGTTAAGAGCATTGGTTGCTCTTCCAGAGGACCTAGGTTCAATTTCCAGCAACCACATGGCAATTCACAATGATTTCTAACTCCAGTTCCAGGGCATCTGACTCCCTCATCCTGCCTCTGCAGGCACCAGGGATATACATGATTGTTAAGAAATAGATTTGGAAAAGACATTGATACACATAAAATAAATAATTATTTGGATAAAACACTGATACACATAAAATAAACAATAATAAAAAAAGATTACCTAGCCAGGCGTTGGTGGTGAACGCCTTTAATGCCAGCACTTGGGAAGCAGAGGCAAGCTTCCCTGTGAGTTCTTCTTTGAGTTCGAGGCCAGCCTGGTCTCCAGAGCGAGTGCCAGGATAAGCTCCAAAGCTACACAGAGAAACCCTGTCTCAAAAAACAAAAAACAACAACAAAAAAATTACCTAAACCAGCCCTATCAGTCTAGTGTGTATATGTGTGTGTGTGTGGGGGGGGTGGGGGTAAGGGTAACTGAGGGCGTGAATCCTCCTTAGAGTTGACTGCCACACTTCCTTTCTGTACCATCCCGAGTGCTTCATTGGTCTTGGAGAGGCCAGCAGCATGGTTTGGCCAATGACAGCAGGAGAAGAAAGTCAAGTAAGGTATCAGGACCAGTGTCCTTGGAGAAGACCAGAGATAGGTGGTTAAGAATGCAATGGAGGCTCCTCTGGAGGACGAAGGACTCAGTGGGACCGGGGACGGGTGCTCTGTGGTACAGCACCATACTTGGCCTGCTGGGGACCTGCCGTGAGTTCTGAGGTGCCTCTCAAGTGGGATGGGGCCATCTTCTCATACAGCTCTGCATTCACCATGCAGGGAGCTCTGGGATGCCATTGCCTGGGTGTCTCCTGGAGGACACTTGCTGAGTGTCTGTACACTGAGAGACTCCTATGGTCCTACAGCAGGATACTGTTAAGGGCACCTACCAAAGTTAGTGCTGGAAATCGTCCCAGCCTGAGAGCTGTCTGAAAAAAAGGGTGCCCTTCTATAGAAAAGCCAGGCACATCTATTCCTGCTTCTGGATCACAGGCCGGTCTACCTGGGCCTTGTCTGACACTGTGTGGTCCAGAGTCTGAAGCAGATATTGTCCTAGCTGCAGATGATACAGGCTGAGCGAGATGGGCAAGCTCCCTGTGCTCAAGAGTTTGGTGCAGGCAGATAGCTCAGTTGGAAGCCACCTAGGGAGACTTCAGATGGTGAACTGGTCAGACAAGGAGACAACAGGGGCACTGGAAGGACTAACAGTGGCCCACTGTAATGTGGGCAGTCAGGGAAGGTCTTTATGAGGAGCCTGCTTGAGTGGATCCTACCAGCTAAGAGGGATCGACTCACCAAGGACTGAGGATGAGGGAGGGAGTTCCAGGCTGCCAGAACAGCATATACAGAGACCCCTAGGGAGGAGAGAGCTTGTTGCATCCTGAGAATGTCAGAAATGTGGAAGACACTGGAGGAAGACGGAGTCCTGGTCCCCCCCCCCACTATCCCGCTAGGGTCTAGGTGGGGGTTGAGAGGCCCAGTGGACTCAAGATGCTGTTGTTTGAGTATAAGTTGTAGCAGGGAGCTTGCAGTACAGGGGAAGGCTGAGTGTGGAAGATGATTAAATTCAATGATGGGGGTACACAGAGTCATGGGGAGATTGGGGAGATTTTTCCCCAGGTTCAACTCAGTGGACGCTTATTAAGCCTTATAGTGTACCGGGTACAGGGCGGGGTGGGGGGCAGTTATCCATTTGTAGTCTCTGGTCGGCAGTGGGGCCTCAGTCCTAAGGTCCCTGTCCCAAAGAAGGCATGGGGGTAAGAGTGCTGGTGTGAGGGGAACACCTTCTGGAAGGGAAGGAGCTGCCACCTAGGGTGGGAACACAGGCTCCGAGAATCAAACAAAGGCAAAAGTTAATGGATGGTGATGACATGGTGGGGCATAAGTCATGTGGCCAAGGGGGATGGCCCTGAGCTGCCCTGTGGGCTGTCAGGGTCAGCCCATCCTTGCTCCGCTCAAGTTGAGTCACAGGCCTGAGCTGGGCCAGGACAGGGTGCCAATGGTCAAGGTGACATCCCAGGTTCCACCTTGTTTGTCTGGCTGGGTGTGGGGAGCTCCAGAGCCTGGAGCTGCAGAGGGGCCTCTGAACCCCAATCTCTGCTAAGAGCTGGTGGTTGAAGCTGGTAGGGGTGAGTAAGGGTGAATAGAATTGATTTAGGGCGCCCCCTTGACTGCTTGCTGGCTTCGCTAACCAGGGGCCAGCCTCTCCTGTCCCAGCAGACCTAGTGGCCTGGAGACCCAAATCATTTCAGAACCCAGGTCAGAGGCCCTCAGGCACCCCTGGGAAGGGCTCCTGGAACTTTCTAGAAGTGCTAAGTGTCCTGGGGGTGGGGAGGCAGAACAGGGGACATTCCTGGCTTAGGGAACCTGATAGGAAATTTGATTCCAGCTTCTGGTAGTGGGAGGGAGAGCAAGTTCTCCGTGTGTGTGTGTGTGTGTGTGTGTGTGTGTGTGTGTGTGTGTGTGCCACAGATCCCAGGGTCTCTGTAGCATGAGTGTGTGTGAGGTTCCCGGCATGGTGTGTGTGTGGGGAGGGGGGAGTCCCGAGTGCTGTGTGTGCCCGCGGGTGTGCCCGGGCCTCTGGCCTAGGGGAATGCACGTGTGACAGGCCTGCCTGCTGTTGGGTGTGAGGGGAGAGGCCCCTTCGCTCCTCTGTGCCGCTGGCACTGGGCCTGGGTCCCCACCACCTCGGCCTGGCGGGACTCCAGCGGACGCCCTCGGGGTACGCACCCGGGCTCCCCGTTCTTCCTCCCCACAGTCCCTCCTCCCTTCTCCTTGTTCCCCCCCCCTCCCCCTGCCGGGCGTGGAGGGCCAGGGTGGGAGGAGATTGCGACTGAGTTTCCATTTCATACCTCGCGGCTAAAACTTTCTTTCTGTCTCGCTCCCGCAGTCTGCAGCTTCTCCTGTCATCGGAAATGCCAGGCCGAGGTAAGGGGCAGCTGGAGCGGGTAGGGGCGGGCTGGGGCGGGACCGGGCGGCTGCTCTTTGTTTATGCAAAGCGCAGCGCAGGGGTCAAGGTGAAGGCCAAGGCCAGGGAGGTGGTAGGGGTCCTGGTCCCCCTGTGTACTGCCCCATTCGGCCAGCCTGGAGTAGCCTTGTCTGCTGCTCTACAGAGAGTGGGGGCGGGGCCGTGGAGTTGTCTGATAAGGTGCTACCCAGTTTTCATAGGCCATCCCCCCCCCCGCCCCATTTGCGTGCTGTGCTTAGTTTCTCCAGTGTTTCCTGGCGAGTCATTCAGGGGAGGGAAACTGAGGCAAGAAGACAGGACTGATTGCTGCTGGGCCCTGATTGTTCAAATGTCCTTTCAGGTCTGGGCAGAGGGTGGTGGGTCAGCTTTTGGAGTAATGGGATGTGGGGTGGGGGGGGTGTCATGATTCTGGAAGGAAACTGCTGGCAGGTGTCTCAGTTTCCATCGTGGGTTGGAGACCTACTAGGAATTCTCTCCCTACTCTTCCCCAAAGTCTGCTCAGGCTCCAGGCTGCCCGATTCCTGCCATTTCACCTGCCCTTACTGTATAAACCTGGCAGGAGCCCAGGTGAGAAGGAAGCCAGGCAGCAGCGAGTTAGGTACAGGGTCCGTTTTTTTACCCCCAGGCTAATATTTTTTATTAGCTGGGCGGTGTTAGGCATGTCATGGCTCTAACAGAGCCTGATTCATTCCTAGGCTATGGGGATAAGAAGCCCACCTCTCTAAATGTTGTAAATGTTAGTCAGTTAAGTACTCAAAAAACAGGCAGACAGACAGACAAACAAACAAGAAACCCACTACCAAGGAACAGGGCCTGTTTGGGAGAACAGGCTGTTGATGGAACCTCAGGTCAGGAAGTGGTCTGCCCCCTTCTGTGAGATCCTGAATATGCAGTTGCCTCAAGGACACCCTGGAAGAGGTGCAGCCCTTCTCCCCACTGTAAACTCTGGGTTGCAAAGGGGGCCTGTGGTTTGCAGTAGGATTAAGGCTATTTGGCTTCTCTGGCTGGGTCAGCATTATCTTTGGGTGTTGGTGTTGGTGGTGTGTGTCTTTCTCTATTGTCCTCTTCGTTCAGTCCATCTGGGGCAGAGTTCTCCATAAACTACTAAATGGCTTGCTCCTCTCCTCACCCCATCACACCCTTTTCCCATATCAGTGTTTCTCAGTAACAGTGAACATTTGTGCTCTAGGGGCCTAAGCCTTAGAAAGTACACACACTATCAGAGTTTAATCTTGTAATCCCACAGGCCAGAAGATCGTGTTGCTTTTCAGTTGGAGAAATCAAGGCACTGAAAAGTGTAGGTGTAGTTCTTCTGTCCTAACCTTTTGTGCCCCTTTGATTGTCCTTTCCTGGCCACTGGCCCATGGTTCTCCCTGCCTGGCCTCCAGCCTCTTTTACTTTCCATCTCCTACCAGCAGCAAGGAGATACGTAAGGCAGATTAGGTGATGAGTTTACTGTCAGTGAAAAATTAGTGGAATAGGTGGCTCAGAAAGATGTGACAGACAGTGGTCCTCTGTTTCAGGGTACCAAAGATGACTTTCAGGGGTCTCAGCGTGCCTGACGGCTGGGGGTGCAGGTGCCCCAGGCTGTAACAGTCCTGCATTGCTCAGTCAAGGAGGCCACCTGAAGGGGGAGGGTTCAGGCAGGGCACCTCCATACAGATGGAGCTTTTCATAGGATTTTCCTCTATAGGAAGTGGAACCTCTTGGTGGTGCATACTCCACCCAGCTGGCAACACTCTACCCAAACCACAGCTCTTACTGCAGCCCTGCCTCTTCCTCCCACTGGGAAGCCCAGTTCTATGCTGTGGGCTTGTAGCTAGATCAGCTTGGTGGTCATCCCCTCCATCCCCTGCTTCTAGAGGAGCAGCTGGCCAGCCCTCTTCATGGACAGGACACTGCTCTAAGGCAGCTGATAGGAGACTTAGGCAGGATTAGCCCAACATGAGTGCTTGGAGGAGGTGTTACATGAAATGAGACCCAGAGGATGCCCCTAGGAAGGAGAAGAAGGAAAAACAAGACACAAAGGCCCTGAGGTGAGGTGAGCTTGAACAAAGGTCAAGTGCAGGCTGGAGAGTTTAGGGCACTAGAAAGAGGACAGAACTGACACTGTGAGAGACTGTGTTGCCCCCAGGCAAGGACAGGGCCAGAAGTTGCTAGTGGTATCCACACAACACTATCCAGTGGCTTGGCTGGTGGTATAGCACTCAGAATCATGGGGCAGTTGTGAGGAAGGGGCTGACTGGGGTGCGTTTCAAAGCCTAGAGCCTTGCTGGTGGGTGGGATGTTGGGTGTGAGAAAGAATGACTGACTCATAGGTCTTTGGCCAGAGCGACTGGGGACATATGGCTTCATTTACTGAGTAGAGGAAGTGTGGGAGAGGGTTCCTTGAAAGCACTGTGGGGATTTTCCTTTGTTTTGTGTCCTTTTTCAGTTTTCTGTCTTCCCTCCTTTGGGGAGTCTTCTTGTTGGCTCTCAATTCTACCTTCCAGAATGTTCCTGTGGTATGAGCCCATGCTGGGATGGGGCTGGAGCATGGATACATAGCAATATAATGTAACAAAAATTCCCTAAATTTAGAAGGTCAAGGCAACAGTAACCATTTGTGTTGCTCACGGTCTCTGAGGGTCTAAAGTTGGAGAAGGGCTTGGCTGGCCAGTTCTAGCCAGGCAAAGCATGGCAGCCAACATCATCTCCACCACTACTACACACAGTATTAGAGACTGAACTAAGGACCTCAACCATGCTAAGCAAGCCCCTGACCACTGAGCCATACCCCTACCCTCTTGTTGACTTTCTTTGAGACAGGGTCTCACTAAGGCACAGACCTCAAACTCTGCTGTAGCCCAGGCTATCCTTAAACTTACCATCCTCATGTCTTAGCTTATAAAGTAGCTAAGATGACAGGTTTGTATCCCCAGGCTTAGCAGCGATCTTCTGAAGGTCTGATGGGGTTTGAGGGTCCTCTCTCGGGTTCTCTTTTGGGGCTGCCAATGGGGCTGGCTGTTGGCAAAGGCCCCTTTTCAGCTTTGTGATCTCCTGCTAAGGGCACTTGAACTTTCTTATGTGATACTGGCTTCCTGGGAATGATTTCAAGAGCATGGAGACAGAAACACTGTGTCTTATCCATCCCAGTGGGTGAGGTGTAGGGACCTGCGTGGGCTTGTGTGCCCGTAGGGGGAACCCATGGAGTCTTCACAGTGGAGCTGTGCTAAGGCCATGTTAGTTACTTCTGTTGCTATGGTGAAATACCCGACAGAAGCTATTTAAGGGAGGGAAGGTTTATTTTGTCTCACGGTTTCTGAGAGATATCATTTTCCACTATGGTGGTGAGGGCATTGCCGTGGGTGCATGAGGTAGTGACTTGGAACAGTGGGGAGGAGAAGCCCACTGCAGTGACCTGCTCCTGAAAGCCCCTCAGCCTTCAGAGCCCCTCTATAAACTGGGAACCCAGCATAGATGATGAGCCCATGAGCGATACTAAGATTCAAACTATACCAGAAGCTAGCTGCAGCTGCCCAGAGAAAGGGCCAGGCTAAGTGATTCGGGGAGGCTGCCTGAGTGGCAGAGTGCATCTCTGTTGATGCTCTCATGTTTCCTCATCTGTGTCTGCACAGGACTTCCCAACATGGGAGATACTCCCCTCCATGTCACAGGCTGGGAGACAGGTGGGGCTCACAACATTTTACATATTCACCACTGACACCTAGCAGGGCTCCCACATCTCTGTACAGTGGCTTGTACTGGGGTTGACCAGTACAAGGTGAGAGGGGAGTGAAGGTGAGTGAGAGAAACAAGGATGCTGAAGAGAAGTGACTGGACTCTCAGTATGGTTCCAGCAAACCCCTTCTCCAGTTCTTGTAGAGGCTAAAATTTTCCCATGGTCTCCTACCCTTGTATCGCTTGGGGGTCCTTACCTGCACCCTATTTTTTCTCTGCTGCTGAGGATTTTAAATGAATGATCAGCATTTGCTTCCCAGTCTTTTTAAAAATTTATTTTTATTTTATGTGTGTGATGTTTTTGCCTGCACATATGTCTATGCACTGCTTGCCCGCCTGGTGCCTGAGGAGGCCAGAAGTTAGAACTGGTTGTGAGCCACAACAGGACTTGAACCCGGGTCCTGCAGAAAATAGCCAGTGTTCTGAACCATTGAGCAATCTCTCCAGCCCTGTATCTCAGTCTTCTTGAGATTTACTCTCTGCTGTTGTTTGTCCCCTGCTTTCTCCTGTTACTCCATTGTATTTATGTGTTATTTTAAGTATAGCTCTAGAATGGCTTTAGAGTTACAGAGTTGCAGAGGTATTGCAGGGAGTGACAGAATAGTGGGCCCAGATTCCCCAATTCCCTGACTCCCAGGTGGACTTGGGAGTAGAACCCTGCTACCTTATTTTGACCAGATCAGGTCATGGCTCCTCCCAGAAAAATACTCTTGGTCTCCTGCAGGCCAAATGGGAATTACATGAAAGGAGTAGGGGCCTGGGTGTCCCAGAACTGGGTGACTAGGATTTCTCATTTTCTTGCTTCCCTGAAGTTCTCTTCTGTGCTCAGGATAGGCCCAGGAGGGGAGAAGACCACACCCATGACGTAGTCTCCTCTCTGGTATCCAAAGGGCTCCAGTTTCACCTTTGAGCTCGAAAGGAAAAGGAAACCCACCTTTCACTGTAGTATCACTTTCTCGATGCTAGGCCCTCATGAACGTACAGCCTTCTGTGTAGTTGGCTTGGAGAAAGCTATTCTCTAGCTACCAAGAATAGCTGGGGGGGGGGGGCTTGTGGCCCCAGGATCTGCCTGTGGCTCTGAGCCTGGTGGAGTGTTTAAGCTCTTTGGCCTTGGAGACAGACTACTGTGCTTCAACCTAATACTGTGTGGCCTTTGGGGAGTTGCTGAACTTCTCTAACCCATCTCATCTGTAACAGGTGATTATAACAGGACTTATATAACGGGGGTCTTAGGAATACT